TTACGTCGCATATTGCCTAATAATGTTTGCCGTCATGATATTATATTAGGCTTGCGTCAAATGCAATCGGATGTAATTACCGCAACCGCGGCACGAAATCGTGCCTTTCCCGCTCGAGTTACACGTCGCAAACACTTCACGATATCGTCATCTCGAGAGAACATGGTGATACAGCAAACGCGCTGCGTGTGCCTTCGAGATATTAAAACATCTCAGTTATTGCGCGTTGTAGATAATTATAAAACGAACGAGTTTATCGTTTTGTCTCTCATCGTGCTGAGATCTTTTCTGCAGCTATTTAATTTGCGGCGACTTAAATTCCTGTATACAGTTAACGACCAATTTTAGAATAAAATGATCGAAAAAAATTGCGTGCATAGAAAAAAGAATATTCTTGTTTGGAGAATATCTTTATTGCTAGCATTTTAAAAATAAAATTAATGTTAAAATAATATTATATGACGTTGAACGAAGGTAAATTAGTCTTTAATCAAGATTAATATCATATATAAAATTAAATTAACAAAGTCATTTTTTCATAGAATACAATATTAAAAAAAAAATATTAATAAAAATATTAATTTTTTCATAGATTACAATATTAATATTTTTGATTATATATTATTAGCTTTTTAATCAATATGATATATTCAATATATCAAATTATTCAATATATTCAAATTAACACTTTCAATTACTTTTTCATATATAACCAACAATATTAATATTCTTACTTATATATGAAGAAATGATTGTATTTACTTTACTGTATTCGTCTTAATTGAAGACCAATTTATCTTCATTCAACGTCGTATAATCTTATTTTTAAAATGTCAACAATAAAGATATTTTTCAAACAAGAATATTCTTTTTTCTGTGTAGACTAAGACCGGAAGCGCACGGAAAAGCGTAAGCAGAAAGAAAGCTGACCAATCATAATCTATCATTTGTGGGCTGTAAAGAGAATGATCGACTGTAGTTGGTCGATTTGCTTACTGCTCAAGTTTCACTGTTCACGTTTTCTTGTGCCGACCTAACATCGAAATCAAGCGACTCCTACATGACTCCGACACGAATAAAAATTCTATTAAAGTCCAATAAGGAACTAATTAAAGAATGAAGAGTCCGTGGACCGCGTTCGCAACCGGGAGAAATCGTTTCGGCGTTTTTGCCACTTCTACCTCGTATTTCATTCCGTTACCATCGAAAATGTTTGGCACGTGTTTCCGCGCGGTTTATATGCATGCATACGCAAACTTCATTCGCTATTTATACAAATTGGTAAGAAGTGCGAAAATTCCGCAATGTCCCGCCGACGCTTCCGAGTTATTTCAGCGTCTCGCGGCGTAGAAAAACACACGCGTTTCTTCTTACGACACATCGTGCATTTTTACACGCGTGTGCACACACAATTGTTTCGTATAATTTTGCATATAGAGCCACGCGTTCAGCGTGGAGAGATTGCGTTTGCGCGGACACGAACGTGATATTTTGCGATGATTCGTCACATTGCGCGCTCGATTCGGCGCTTTTACGCACGCAGTTTAAAAGCATTGATCTGCATTAAAATGCGCTTAACCCCGATTAATCACGAATGCGATTTTCGTCAAGCACGAATGTACCATTTCTTGGAAGATTAGAACAGGCACGGAATCGGGACGACGGAGCAATATCTATCCGCAAAATTGTTTCTCTCTCGCTGTTATAATCTCACGTTTCAACGAGATATTGTGATTAATCTGCATCGCGAAATTTCACCGCGCAACAATTCACGTGAAAATTGCATTTGTCTTTTATCCGCATGCGCTTTTCTCCCGCGCGGTGCGTTTCTTTTTTCTGTTCTCTCTTTCCTCTTTTTTCCATGGATTTTGTAATTTTCCCGAAGGTCTTGTCGGTTGTATTCGACCTTTCTCTTTTTGCGCCACATCGTTTTGCCGGCCTCGGAATACATAATTGTTATACAGGAATTTACAGATAGCCGTGCACGTCGTGAATGTTGACGGTGCCTTGTGCGAACAAAGAACACTGAGTCATAAAATTATTTTTTTCTCATGTTACTAATATGTGACAAACAAAGATAAACTCACAAAAAAAAGTAATTTGCTGGCCCAGCAAATTTTCTACTGGTCTAACAAAATCTTTTCGTTATTATATAGACAGCAGAAAGATTTGCTAAGAGTTACTAATCACTATTTGCTGGATATAATTTGCTGAATCTACAAATTATTTTGCTATAAGAACCATGATGGATTTATATAAGCAGTTGCAGTTCTTCTCCGATAGCAAATAAATTTGCTAAGGATATATTATTTTGCATCAATAGCAAATTAACGTGATTCTTAGAACAAATACACTCAACAATTTTTTTGCTATCCTGGCAACGAAACTTCTGCTCTGATAACGAATAATTTGTAAAATTAGTTAACAAAATTAGTCAACAAAATTTTTTTGGTATCACTACAAATATGCAGTAGCAACGACGATTTTGCTAAAAAAGCAAAATTATTTTTCTCTGTGCTGCTAAAGTAATTATTTCACCGTCAATTACGATATGATAATAAACTTCTTTTCTTATTACGATGATTGCGATTGCGGTGAAAGGATATGGTAAAAATTTCTATAGTCAAGAAAAAATGAGCTATTTTAGCTATTTTCTTTGGATTTCTTTAGATATTTCTTTGAGTCTCTTTATACTTCACCTACCCATTTATTTAAGATTCCTGACTAGTCGCTGGGACTGTCCTTGTTTAATGACGTCAGAAGCGAGAAAACGCATGCTAAGATTTCGTCCGTTATATTTTTAATTAAAAAGATATATCCACAAAATGGCATTGGTGATCGATTCAGCACACTTGTAAAATTATCCGAATACTTTCCTTTTGTTCGAACAATCAATAAATAGTCAAAATTAACATTGACGTAATCTTGAGAAAAGAGGTTAAAAAGGAAAGTTCCATGTCAAGTTTGCGATTATTTATTGATTGTTCGAGCAAAAGGAAAGTATTTGGGCAATTTTACAAGTATACTGAATCAATCACCAATGTCACACAACACACTTTGTGGATATATCTTTTTAATTAAAAGTATAACGGACGAAATCTTGGCATGCGTTTTCTCGCTTCCGATGTCATTAAACAAGGACAGTCACAGCCAGGAACTTTAAGAATTTTGATAAGCGAGCAGTAAAAATTTAGATAAAAGGAGATAAATTGAAGGAAAAGATATTCCTAAATTTCTTGGAGTAAAATTTCATTTAAGAAGTAGAGTGACTCTGTCTACCAAATCACTCGAATTCATGTGATCTTTTACTCACATACATTACTAAAAAAAAAGATACTTGAAAATTTATTTGTGGGATATATAAAGTTTATCTTTAGAGGAGGGGGGAGAGAGAGAGAGAGAGAGAGAGAGAGAAATAAACTTTATATCCCAAAAATAAATTTTTAAGTATTTTCTCTCAGCATGCAAAAAAACATGTGAAAATTTATTTGTGGAATACAAAGTTTATTTATGTGAAATAAACAAAGTTTTTTTCCTGCGAATAAACTTTATATCTCACAAATAAATTTTCAAGCATTTTTTCTCTGTGTATAGAGTGAATTTTTCACACTAAACTACTACCGTTGAGTAAACATTTTCGTTCAAATTGAAAAATGAATCTGATATCTACCGTCACACGAACGTATTCATTCTGAACGATTGAAATATTCGCTCATATAGTGGAGTCAGACTCCACTCCAAGTTTGAGTGAAACATTTACTCGATTTCGTGCAGCAATACTTTTTTTCGATATCGCTGCCGCTGAAAATACCGCCACACTTTTCTCTCATTTTGCGCGAGATCCCGCCGCAAGAAATACAGAGAAGATAAATTTGCGAAGTTATCAGCGAGTATCTATCGCGCCTAAAATTAAAGGTATTGCTAATGCGAGTTACTAACGTGTTGTTATCGCGGCTGTCACAGATGACGCACAGTTGGGAAAGTTGTTTGCGACGATCAGCTGCGGACTATTTTCCCGTGGTCGTCGCGTTGGCACAAAGTCCACCGACCGAGAAATTCACTGCCTCTTGAACGTCTTAGTCGCGGCGCGTTAAATTGCTTATACTCGAAAGACACCGGCGTGTCGACATGTAACGAACGTAATGCGCTCTTGTTCAACCGCGCTTCTAATTATGCTGACTCCCTATTCAGCGGATTCCACTTTAACTTCAGCTCGGAAATTAAACAAAGAAAAAGAGAGAAGGAGGGGAATCCTGAGCAAAAAAATCCACAGAGAGAAAGACGGTCGAAAGAAGTAGCATACTGATACTTCGCGACGATTCGATATAAGTATCATTTTAGAAACGAAAATGACTCCAACCGTGAGTGGGAACGAGAGCTTTCAAATTTAATTTCAACATTGCGCGTATCGACAGTGCTAGATATTTTTTCTGACAGAGCAACATTGTTTTGTTATGGAGAAATACTGTTCGTTATAACAACGAATAGATTAATTACCAATTAAAATAAAAACGAACAATTGTATGTTACGTAACGACGTGGCAGATGAAAGCACACGGAGAAAATACTGCAGTAAACACTGCAACCAAATTTTTGTAATCTTGGATAGATATACAGGATTATGACCGAAATTACTAAATATATATTTTTTTAATATTATACACATATGATCTTTTATTACAAAATTATTGTAACTGCTTGAATGCTTTTTTACATCGTATATCGTAAAAATCGTAAATTTTCTGTATATATTTGCTATTTCTATAGCGATTTATACTGCAATTTCAGTACATTCTAGTTTTGCAGAAAGCATCGTAAGAAAACAAGTAACATTAAAGTAACTTTCAATGGAATATCTCCTCCGTGTACATATTAATTCCCATAAGGTATCCATTAACGTTCCCTTCAGAGCGCTTCTCTCACCGATGTACTCTGAACTTTGATTTCTGCTCAACCTCCAAGTATCAATACCCAGCCACGATCACAGTTCTATCGCCTACCTGAAGAAATGATCCCGACACGTGCTAACTTCCAGCAGGCTGCATTACGCACGAGACCTCGGCACTATCGATCATTGTTGTCCTTCGATCGCACGAGACGTAGCGCGAACTTGTTTCTTTTTTCTCTAATTTTTCCTCCTCTCTTCCGATAACAATGGATCGGACCGGCGCGTTCCAGTAAACCGGGTCGGTTTCCGGGCTGAGATCGCGAGCGAGCGGGTAAAACGGATCGATCGAACGTACGTTCCGACGCGCGCGAACGCTCGAGTGTTACTAGCTTCGTTCGTTCGTTCGCTCGCTCGTTTGTTCGCTCGTTCGCTCACTCGCGTTACGCAAATGCTACTCTAGTGACGCTTTCCACTTCCCCTGCATCCCTTCTCTTCGGCTACCCGTTATATGCGCGCGAGTATCTACGTCAAAGGGGAATAAAGTATATGTGGAAATAAGTCGCGTTGAGGTATGTCTGTGGGTATCGATGCTCCATGTCAAACGTCACGCAGACGACACATCGTTATGCTCAGCGACGTTGCGTTGCTCGGATAAAGGAAAAGAGAAAAAGAGGAGACGTATATGTGTCGATATATCCCGTTGGTATCGTAATATCGGTACTTGGATAGCGTCGCAATACAATCTTCCCTCGCTTAACGTTTTCTTCAGTTCACGTATTACTTAATTGGCGCGGCTGATACGGAAATAATTCGTGAAAAATAATTACTTCGCAATAAATATTGCTCACAAATAATAATCACTTTCATAGACTGTCCACAAATAATAATCACTTTCATAGACTGTCTACAAATAATAATCACTTTCATAGACAATAATAGTATTCTTTTATATTGATCGTTTGCTTAATGGAATTTTGTCACGACTTAATGTTGTGGTCTTCAGCGATTAATTGGTCACGACGTTAAACGAGGGAAACTACCGGAAGACAATAAGACAGTATCGTGTCGACCAGCGATAGCTCGACGGTGGATGTCGAAGTTACGTAATGCAAAGCACTTCTAAAAAGAGATTTCAGCTCGTGTAACTAAATAAGGACTAAAGGAAAACTCATGGCTTAGAAATGATATCTCTCTACTGCGACCAGAAACATTCATCTGAATATCTCACCACTTTTAAGTTCAGACTACTGAGAACAATTGAATGAATAAAAATCTCCCAGATAAACATGCTTGGCATATTGTCTGAATGGTGACTGAACTGAAAATTGAAAGTTGCAGCGCAAATACACAAAAATGCGTCCTTATATATCAAGAATGTTGTCAGAAAGGAGACATTTGATGCCATGAAAATTGCATCAATATTGCAACAATATTCTACTGCCGTGAAAATTGCTGCTTGCCGGCAAAGGAACGCAACTAATCCGAAATTATTAAACCATTAAAAATGAACGTCAAAATATGTCGTAGTGAGACGGTATTCCTTTAAATATATTTTAAACATATTGTGCTGTTATAATAGTATCACAAAATATATACTAAATGTTTGCATGCTATATTTAGCAATCTCTGTCTATCTGGGCGTCTATGGGGATTCTTCTGTCTCCACAATCGAGACACAATTTTAAGTCATGAGTTTTCCTTTAGTCCTTATTTAGTTACACGAGCTGAAATCTCTTTTTAGAAGTGCTTTGCGTTACGTAACTTCGACATCCACCGTCGAGCTATCGCTGGTCGACACGATACTGTCTTATTGTCTTCCGGTAGTTTCCCCTCGTTTAACGTCGTAACCAATTAGTTTTCGTTTAGTCTTTAGATAAGAGAACATGAGTTACACAAATCGCGTATCTTTTTTTATCGTTTTCTAAAAATATCGCGCGTGCCCCTCGCTTTCGCTTCTAAAGTCTATCGATGTTTCTACGAGATCCTATTGTGTGTAATTATCTCTCTTTCTCTCTCTCTCTGTATCTATTGCTCTTGATGACGTGTTTGTGACATGTTGTGTTGCTCATCTTGGCGGTTATCATAAAAAAAACCCAACAATGTCGACACCTTCATCTCCTTCTTACGTATTCAGTTTGCAATCCCGATAAGTGCTGCGCTATTAGCCGCGCTTAATATATTTGTCTCTTATTAGCGGTTGCGCCGTTTAAGTCGCGCATTTTATTCGAGAATAACAAAAAACCGCTATTATCGTTTTTACTGCAAAAGACTTGCTGTTCAAAGATGCGCGGAGATAAGATTACGCGAGTCGATCTCTCTCTTTCTAATCGAGTATCGTTGACACTCGAGCATTAATCGTGTCGGAAAATAACGAGTTTACTTTGTTCCCGGATATGCACGACTAGACGAGTAAGCAGGACTTATCTCGTGAAAAACAGCGAGAGACCACCAGCGAGCATGTATATTGATTTAATTAGTCTGCGATTTATGCTGTGCCATCGTCCCCCTCTCTCTTTCTTTCTCGAGAGAAAGAGCTTATAAATAATGAATTATTATCTCGAAGTCAGCGAGAGATTATTTCCAGAGCGTTTGCTCATTGAACATAGCTGTTGCCGTATGAATAATTGCAAAGCATACCTTAACCGGATATACTAGCAAAAATTTTTTTTGACTAAAATAATCGGCGAGTCAATAATCAAAATTAGTCGTCATTTATATAATCACGAATAATTTAATCGAATAATGAAATTAATTATGCATAATTAATTACATCAAAGTGTAAATAATTATCCATAAAATCACGAATAATTTGATCAATGAAAATTATTCATTAGTGCACAATCAATCACACACATCAAAGTTTAATTAATAATATATAAAATCACGAATAGTTTGATTGATTGATGAAATTAATTATTAATCAGTGCATAATCGATCACAATCGAAAATTTGATTAATTCACTCTAATAATATATAAAGTCACGAATGATTTGATCGAATTAATAAATTAATAATGAATTACTAATGTATAATAAATCCTAATAAAATTTGATTAATAATTTTCTCAGTCGATGAAAAGATTTATGATTTTATGTATGACAATTAATTTTAATTACCATGACGTGCTGATTATTTCAGAAAATCCTAAAGAAATTTTTTATTGATTAAAGTCTCACACAGGCTTTGACAGGCGCGACTTTACTGTATATCACCGGTTTAATTATTTCTAAAGAACAGCGTGGAAGCGGAAATATCCGTCGCGTTGAAACATTTACCGCTGAACACAGCTAACGTGATACAGACGACGTATATGTACTTCGCACGCGAAATGTCACACGAAAGAGCTTACTCAATATTCGAAATATGCCGCGGAGATACTGTTTCACAATTAATCATGCATAATTTGACACGTGTCGATAGCAGCGAATAACTGACAGGTACCTAGAGGTCGATAAAGAAACTGCTTATCGCGCTCATAGTAGACTCGTGGAAGGGAAAAGCACATGCTGATTCAGATTATCCTTCATCACGTGCAATTCGGAATCGTACGTTATATTTATTTCTTGGCGTCGAAAAAAATGTCAGAAACTTTTGATCGATGTTAGCCGAATTGCAAAATAATGTCGCGTCTGTTAAAAAGAGTCGCGATGAGCCGACATTTTTCTTATCATAACTGATTCAGAATTGTCTAATTCTTTTGTCGTAAGTTCTCGGATTATTAATCTTCACTCTTCGAATTATTTCTCTATCAACATTAAATTTCTATTGAAGATTTCTACTAGAAATTAGGCACATTCGATATTAATCGGGAAGTGGGATTTTGTTGCACATTTAGTTGCCTCTAATGGCTTCTCTCGTCAAAGTTTTTAAATCCCCGCCTTAAATAACGAGTCAATTGAACTTCCGCTTAAATATCCGCCAAAAGAAGGAGCAGATACGCGAATTCTTTTCTAATATCCTGTTCTCCTTATCATTATTCTCCACATTTTTCCGCGACGGTTTATGTAAGAGCAGGTCTTATTTTTTAACTCAAGCTCCTGTCTGGTCTTTTGTTGAGCCACGAGTAGAAAAATTCAAAGCGATATCGGTGTTAAATAGTACGCTACAAATAAGATAACGCTCCTCAAGGTCGGCGCGGAGAAATCGATCGGAAACCAGACAACGACCGAGCATTAAGTCTGATCTACAATATGCTCTTTGCTTCCTGCTTCTTTCTCTTTACCTTCTTCTGACTCAAATCTTAAGCTTTGAGTCAGAAAAAGATAGAAGTAAAAAACAGAATGCAAAGAGCATATTATAGATCAGCCTTTAGCGTGTCTCGAGCGCGACGCCGTCTACTTAATTTACTTGGTCAACGCAGTCGTCGCGGAAAGAAGTGATTATGCGATTGTGTTGACAGGACGATTGACAGAAAGTCGGATTAGAATACAACGAATAATAGTATGTTTGATATAATCGACGGATTCAAGGGACTTCCAGCGTGATACACGAACTCGCTCCCACTTTTCAGTATTATTTTTCAGATTCATCTTTCACGATTTTATCTAAACTTTCGGAATTATACCTCGTTGAGTGCGCCTTAATATATACAGCACGGAGGAAAGTAGGCTACAAGCAAGCAAGGATCAAATAAATCAGATCGTGAGATCAACACGTTGCCTTTAATTCGCACGCAGAGATTTCGCGCACTTGAACTTTCGCACGCGAAAGATTTCAAATGCGCGTATAAAAGTGCTGAGTGTATATCTTCATTAGTTGATATTGTCATTTGTTAGTTACTCGCGACCTGTTGTTAATTCGCGTTAGTTATTTATATATAACAACGGCTCGCTCTGACGGTTTATATATTTGGCCCAGTCTCAGGTACAATTTTTCTTACGCGATGCGCCGGAGAATATGCGTGCCGACAGCAGCATCCGATATTTGAAACGATTCGCGGATTATTTTCCACTTTTTTTTTAATGAGACTCGCGCTATAAATCGATTCATGCTCGATTATTCGGGAAAGCATTGGTTTTGTTAATTTTATATAATATTGATCATTGTAAAATGATTTTAATTTTGCAACCCGACTTTTTAGTTATTTATCAGGTATTTAGCGGGCTTAAAATTGAAAAATCCTCTTACTTCGACCGCGAATGTAAGACTGCCACTGGAACATAATCCTTTCCGGGCACATTCTATATACTACATCGGGCAATACAAAAATACACCTTTGTATTTATAAAAAAATAATTTCCTCGCGTGATTTTTCTCGTAATCGGGGAGCACAATTCCGATTAAATGAAAAGTAAGATGCATGCATGTGTCTGAACAATGCGCTGCATATCGTGAGGCTAGAAAAACAATGAAGTCACTTCGGAAGTGCGCTCTTTGATTATCTTTGTAACTTAATCTCCCTCATAAATAAAATGATAGTCGGTATTTCCGATCAACCGCATTTCTTTAGGCGAATGCAATTCTTTATGAACAAATGTCGATTGTTGATACACGATTTTAACTCGTCAACTCTTACACAACGGTATTAGATTTCGAGAGTTCTCTAGATTTATAGAATCAAAGATTCCATGACTGTAAATTTAAGTGCCAATACAATTGTTATACATCACTAACTTTTGCTTCCTTCTTCCACATGTGAATTTTGTAGATTTTATATTGTTTCAAACCATAATAATAAATATCTGCTGTCCATACACAGAATAATCTCGCGAACGAAGACGCGATTTATCGGAGACACCGAAATATCTCGAACTGAAATATCAGTATATGATGTTTACATGCAACACACAACGTTGAAAGCACGAGATCGCTTCGCGCGTTACGCCAATAGTATCACGTGCTTCTTGGCATTGTAGATAAACTATCGTAGGTTATATATCACGCTAGCAGAGATATGTTAAATCGCACTTATTACGTAATAAGTCTGTATGTACAATGTAATCGCGTAAGAAAAAGAAATAGGGAAGCGGCGATATTTGGCGCCAAACGTGCGGTGAAAATATGGGCCGTCGAATTGTATAATTGCGACCTGTGCAAGATAAAGGAAAGTAATCGACGCAATAATAAGAGGAAATAATAAGGAAAGAATGCGGATGTATATCTCTTCTCCTATTTCTTTTTCCTTAATATATTTCGCGAATGTATATTTCTTTTTCATATTCTGAATTCCATTTTTCCGAATAAGGCAGAAGTGCAGAATTCTCGAACGGTTACACGGTTAACGGAAAGAGGATGAGAAAGAGTCCGATGGAAGTGTTCATTCAAATCAATCCCTGAGACGTCAACGATCTGCAAAGCAAATTTTCTTCAATCTCTCACTCGCTTCTCGTCTATTCTCCGCGGAGTCACTGTCGTAAAATCGTTCCGCAATAAAGCGATACCTCCCGCGCGTGTCTGCCGTTATAAAGAAATAAAGCGTGTTTTTGCGTATCGTAAAGGCGCGTCGTGGTTTCCTTCAGTCTCTTTATTGTACGCGAATCAGTTGCAATAAACGAGCGAAGCGGCGGTATAAATCCCGTTTGCCTTTGGTAGCAGTAGGTTCGAAGAATTTCACAGCTTATCTTGCATTGTGCCATTGTTATCAGCGCGATCGATATCATTAATACGATTGCGCACGTTTGTTGACGACGGAGCTCTTCGCCCCGTCGTGTGTATTCTAATGATTACTCTGTCGCATTACAATGATAATTAGACTACAAAGCTGCAATTACCTGGCACCGTTAAAACTTTCCGCGATAAACTGCTCCGATTAATGGATTACAACGTTGAAAAGAAATTTATGCTAATTCAGGTACAACGGTGTAATTTAACAAATGGTTTTGCTCGTCGACTTTTTACTACTTTAATCTCGTAATTATGTAAAATATTTTATATCGTATGACCATGATATAAAATATATATGTTATATAATTTACGTTTCTCATCCCCAAGATATGATCAAACTATGAATAAATTGTCGCACTTACAATGACAATAGAATATTATTAAACCCTCTCAGATCTGCGTTGTGGAATATTTCAACTTTTCAGTCTGCATTTCTGCGTTATTCATGTCATCGAGTCTTAATTTATAATTCGGTGGTAGCGACACCCCAATATTGCTGCATTCTTGTGGCGTCTTGCTCCAACGAGTCCATGCCTCTCTCCTGGATGACAGCGAAGTCGTATTCCAGATTGTACGGCATCAGTCTTTGAAGACTGCCAAAGTATGCAGCGTTCGGTCCACCGTTCAGCAACCTTCGTCCGCTACCGAAACGAACAACCGGCGGCCGCGGTAACGAAGGATTGAAGGACCTGGCACTGCCGAACCTTTTCGACAGAAAAGGCAAATTGCCACCTAATTGTGGAGTCGACCTCGACTGGCCTCGGTGCAACGGCGTTTTCGTCAGTGTGTCCAATTCTTTGTCGAACAATAATTGAGTGTTTTGCTCGAGCATGTATTCCCAACAGCGAAACTGCTCCTCGCTGAGAGCGCCGGATCTTTCCGACACAGCATCTTCCTGCGTAGGCAGGCAAGGTGTTACCTGAGAAACAAAGACGCTATAGGGGCTTTGTATTTCGCCTTTATTAGAAGCTTATTGATCTTTTTGACGAACCTTTAGAAAGTGATATTCAAGCAATAATTAAGACGAGATAAATCCTTTTTTAGTGTACCATAATCCACCGTGCGAATTATGAGAGAGTTACTTTGTAGCAACCTCTCTTAGAAAAAAATTTTATAAGAATTACAATAGTACACACTTAAATGCAGCTAGGAATATTATTTATGTATCAATTATTATAATAGCACATTTGGAGCAGATAAAAGAAATGCAATCTTAAGGTTTTTTCAAAGAAAGAAAGAAAGCTTAAGGCTTCAACTTGCTAATGCTTTCGTATTTTTGTGGCTCTAAATGTCCAAGTCAACATGGAAACGTAATCTTACTTTTCGTGTGCCGTTCTCTTGCATGAGAACGCTCTGGTGTGCCTTGCTCGTGGCTCGGGAAGCCGCACTCGCGGACCACATCCTTCCTGATGGATGGCGAGACTTGAATGTGCTGTCGCTGGCTTGATCGGATTGTCCACTCGGTGAGCTACGATCGTCTCTATACGGAGGACTCTCGTTCTCCTGCGTCGATCTCGAATTCTTGAAGTATCTTCCGGAACCACTGTGAACTTTACTGGATCTGCGAGAGAAATTAATTTGAAAATATCTTGAACTAATTATCAAAAAATGACGTTATCATAATTGCAGAGTGTAATAATAATAAATTATAATAAATGAATCTCAATAGATTAAATATTTTGTACGAATTTTGAAATATCAGGAATACCGACTGATTAATTTGTCACACACACATACATACATCAAACACTACTCTTTTTTTACCTGTTCACTATATTTTTTAATACACCATTAAGATAATAGCCTTCGCTCGCGTGACAACAGCAGGCCCCCGGTGGCTTGTGCGCCGCGGGCGGCACGCAACAAGGACAAGGACATACGCCATCGGTCTGGCCTCTGTTCTTGCCAACGGCGTGCCTAAGTTCTCGCATGAGCTGATCCATATCTCCCGGGTTGGGCCCGGCCAATCTGACAACGATAATGCTCAGATTGTCTTCCGCACCGTAAGCCTGTGCTAAATCCTGAAGCCTTTTGGCTGCTAAGACAGGACTGGCCTCGGCTCTAGCTTCCCTCACGGCTTCTTGGACGCTCAGAACTTCCCATAACCTTCGATTCGCGACTATGACAAACTCGTCGTCGTCTTCAAGTGTTACCTCCTCGAACACCGGATCAGGAACCACCATTGGGAACATGGCGGCGTTACCTAATTGATTCTTGATTGATTGAGATTTCTTAGATGAGGCGAGAGTCAAGGGGCCAGCGGCTCTGCATAGGACAGCTTTGGCATCTCCGGAGGAAGCCACTTTCAAAGAGTACTTGGTCGAGGGTTTCGGATATCCTTGCTGCGATGGTAACTTTATCACATGAACCAGAGTCACGTCTATACCATATTTTTGGCCCTTTTCTTTCAGTTCTCTGTGCGCCGACAACAAAGTATATTTTAGGTATTCTTTTGAGGTTTCTCTAACCGTGCGTTCCTCCAATAGGAGACGGGGAATCATCTCTTGAAGAGCGCTGGGCGCTTCTTGATTGGAACCGCCGTCGAATATGCCGAACAAGCCCTCGACGTTACAGAAGGACGGCATTCTCACTTGGGAGATGTATAGCCTAATAACAAAAAAAAAGAAAAGGAAACATAAAAGAAATTCTTTAGAAGTAAAGAAAAAATTAATGGTCTTAAAAGCTGATCATTAGGACTACAATATTTTTCAAAAAAATTCTAAACTATTTAATTTTTTATTAACTTGTTTTTAGACAAAATATTTATTATATTCTTACTTTTCGCGTGAGCCGGCAGTTTCTGAAAAGCCTAATCGCCACGGTTGTTCGGCATTCTTTTCTGCCGTGACGATTTCCTGCTGATGCGGATGAGACGGTAAACTAGGTCTGTTTTGTCCAGATACATCCACTAAAGATATCGGCCTTTGTGATCTGTATACTTGAAACTGTCGAGGGTCCACGTGTAATCGTGAGTTACAAGATATGTCGAGAAATTGAAGCTGCGGTGGCACCAGAGTAGCCAGGTTTACTCTGTCCAATTGGTTGTGTGCTAAATCTAGCACCTAAGCAAGACAAATGTTTATTTATATATATATATATATATATATATATATATATATCCTTTATGTATACCGTCGATATAATTTAATAATAAATTTATTTATACATTAATCGCATTTTCGTAATTCGTATAATAAAATGATTGAGTAAAGTCTTTAAAATAATTTTCTATATTATTTTCTACTGTATAAAGATATTTAGGCAAGACATATTCGAAAAAATAATTGTTACTGTTTATTAATTTTTCAGGCAACTCTGTATAAAAAGATATCTTTCTTAAAATATTTTCTATAAACATTTTGAATATACATCTTTCCGCTTAAACAAACTGAAGATTTAACCATCTGGAGTTTGAACGTGATTAAGTCGCGTTTACATTTGCTTGATATAAATTCGTGTGTGCGTACGTGTACCTAGAATCTCACCTTCAAGGATGCCGTTTTGCTGAAAGTGGGACACGTTAAGAGTCGATTAGAATGCACGCGCAGTACGCGCAAATGTCGCAGATTGGCCACGTTGTCCGGAAGGTACTGCAATCGGTTACCGGACAACACTAATTCTTCCAAATCGCTCCACGCGGCAATGCAACTGAAACGTTTCGCATTGAACATTCAGCAATGTTATTGGAAACGAATATCGAGCGATTAATTGAAAACTATGAAGAGAATTATGATTCATGACTATAAGATTTATTATCGAAATATAGTAAAATATATTATCAAAATTATGCAATTTTGTGGAAGTTGGAAAAATAGTTTACCGAAGAAAATATAAAAAATATTTCTGTTGTAATGTGTAATTATTATTCATTTATATATATCTTTATTATATCTGACAGTTACGTGCGATCTCATTGTTTCTCTCCATATTGCTTAAATACATGAAAATTACGACAGACTCACCTTTCTGGAAGCGTGTCTAAAGTGTTATAAGCAATATGAAGAACTCTCAAAGACGTGAACTTTGCCAGAGCGTCTAGGGCGGTATCGGTCAGGCAGTTTGCCGTGACGTACAATTTCTCTAAGGTATGGGATCCCTGGTGAGTTCTGCCGGCTTCCTCGCGGTATGGAAGCTCGGAGAGTCGATTGTTGGAGAGATTCAAAACTTTCATTCTGAAAGAAAGTAAATTGTGAGCGCGAGATGCAAAGTACATTGCAGTTTGCAACGATAGGAACACGATCGATCTACTTTAGACGGTCGAGCATGACTCGCGAATTGGGAATATTGCACAAGATATATTTCATGTCTCACTTTTCGGTGTTCGCGAAGAAGCTGGTGGGCAGCGTGGTTAACATATTGCCCTGAAGAGTTAAATGTACGATGTTTAGCGGCCTCCTAGGCGGTGGCAGCGCTTGCAATCGATTGTGAGGCAGATGAAGAACTTCCAGTCTCGATGGTTGCGACAACAGTCGGTCCGGAAGGGCCGTCAGAGTGTTATGCGACGCGAAAAGGACACGCAACGCTGGCAATTCGGTCGTCCATTCAGGCAGTGCGTCTAAATTGTTGCTGAACAAATGCAACTTTTTTAGTTCTTTATTGAAAAAAGCACGTTAGTTCTCTTCTTATTTTTATCATATAATTCGATGAAAATGAATTACGTAATAAAAATGACAAGATATTAATAAAACATTGTATATAATATATATTAATAATTAATATATATTATATAAAATTTATATATATATATATTATATAAAAAAAATATATATATATATATATATATTATATAAAATTAATATATATTAATTTTATATAACATATTAATATTAAATATTAAGTCATTTTATATATATTTTTTATATATTGACACGTAAAAAAATGTTTCATTTATATCCACTTACTAGGAAACATCCAGATGCTCCAGATTAATTGGCACAGGTTCCACGGTTAGCTTCTTCAATTCTATAAAAATTACACATTCGATTAGTTTTTTGTTTCAATCCATTAATCGATGGAAAGTATAGATAATCGCGCGCGCAACGCGTGCGAAAGACAATACTCACTATTGTTTCCAGCGATGAGTGACACGAGATTTCGACCGCAAAGAGTTAATTCGGTCAGGTGATTTCGCGCGCAGCGGACGCTCCTTAGCTCTTGCAAAGCGCTGATATCCAATTTTTCAATGCTGTTTTCGCTGACGTCCAGATGTGTCAAATTCTTTTTATTTTTTCATGGACAGAAAGAAGAATAACGAACGTTAAATTATCTTTTCTACTTTTACGTTTTCCTTTATCTCCTCCTCTCCCGAAAAGAGATGTTTCTCTCGTTAATTAGCAGACCGGAGTAAAATAAAATTGTAAAAGAAACGCAACGAACAATTCTCATAGCAGCTGAACTTACGCCATAATTTCCCAGAATTATGTTTCCCTTCAGCTGATTGTTCCTCAAGTTGATTTTATGCAAGTTACTATGGTTGTTTTTTTCATCCTTGTAGGATTTACTGTGGTCTCCCTTCGATAAAACTTCCTGCGTTGTAACATGAAACATACATTAATCGTAGGATACGGAATGAAAAAAGAGAGAAGATTGAAAAATTTAGAAGATTGAAAAATTTATGGGCAGAAAATTCTGGCTATACAAGAACAAAAAGATCTTTAAAACAGATAATAAAATAATATTTAGCAATCGTAGAAATTTCATTCTTTCCTTAAGTTCCATCGAGCAGAATTATTTTTTCTTTTATAGTTTAAGTTTTACGGAATATTGTACGGGCCGTAGTGTATCGATGATCATTGGTCGTTGCCAGAACAGCTGACAGTATCGATTTTACGGCCTGAAAACGGACCCTAAACCGGGTCTGACTCTGTTTAGTTTCAGCGACAGCCTCTAGATGTCTGTCGAACTGGCACCTTTCTCGTGAGAAAAATTCGGTGCCATGCATTATATAAGGAACGTCTCAGAAAGGTTCGTCACTCTGGTTTCTCTTCAATGCACGTATAAATCTTTCGCCTTTTACTAAAGATTTCCGTGGAGGGGAACACTCAATGAGTCTTTAAGACAATTTTTTGTTGTACCCGGCGAAAGCTGGGTCATTGAATAATATCAAAGTCAATTTTTGTAGGAAAACCACAATATTAAATGAACACTTGAACTAACTTCCGCTGTTCTGTACTATTCTTTCATTAATTTGTTCTCGACGTTTCGTGAATTACTGCACTACTTCCATTACAAATTGCGTTAGTTAGTGCGAGCGCACAGAAGTTTAAATTATTGAATCTATGAGAATCCAACGAATGTATCGCAGATATTAACAAGAGAACTAACTTTAACAAGTGTGTTATACTGAAAATTTTCCGGTATCTTCTTCTAGTTTAAAAGTAGGACGAAGGAAGAATATTGTACAGACGGCGAATAGCCAAGCATATATCGTCAATAATGAAGTTAAACATGCGCGAATAGCTAGACTGAATCGCTGAGGGTCAAGGTTCAACGAGACGGATCGATATAATAACCGCTAAAGTCCCACTATCATAATACTACTGTCGCTAGAAGTTTTATTCATTTTTCATTACGACTTATATTTAATCTACCTAAACACTTTACCACTTAAATTTGTAAGTACTGATTAAATTTGTAAATTTAATCGACAAAAATGTCGAATCAGTGTAGATTATAATCCCAGAAATTCACACAGTTTCTCATAAAAATATTTAATATACTACATTGTAAGTCTGTACACAACGATAAAACATAAAGATAGTTGTAAATTATAAAATTAAGATTTCATTACTGAATGTCCAGGTATTCACATTGAATTGCTAAAAATAATCAATAATGTCCAATTACTTCCAGATTCTCTTCGGGCCCTTTGCCAATTCAAAAATTTATTAATAGGGCTAACCGTCTTTAATATCTCGTCGGTAAGATAACCAATCGTCCCGAATTTTGCGGGATATCCCGATTTTTGGCTCTCTATAGTTTCGAAAAAAATTTTAGTTACTTGTCTCCATGTGTCATATAACGTAAAATAAATAATATACAATTTTAGTATTACATATTATTTATGTGATGAGAAAAAATTGTATTTTGATTGTTCATTGCTTTTATCTTCCATTGATTGTTCTTTCATTTTATCAGTCTAGTTTTAGACTAATGGTTTTTTATAAAATAACAGAAGAGTATGTTCTATTGATTGATGTTGACCTAATAAACAAACATTTTACATATCTACGCGTATTAAACTTTTTCAATCTACTTGTTTTAAAAATTTATATATCAAGATGTATATCTATATAGATATATAATAACCAAGAAGAGGGACATGCATATATATTGATATTACAAAATATTTTGATATACTACATTATGAAAAAATCTCGATTGTTTGATTGTGTCCCGATTTTTAAAGGGATACAAGGGTTTTCATCCCGAGATAGGTTGATTAAGAGTTGCTCGTCGGTGACTTTATTCTAGTATAGTCAATTTGTTAATTAATCACCAAGTCGCGTGAAATATATTCGACCTACCGTCAAAGCGAGAGCTCGCATGTTGAAAAAGGATGGTGCGGTGCTAAGTAGATTTCCGACGAGAGAAATATTTCTCAGATTTCTCAGTCGTGTCACTTCCTCCGGCAGGTCCTTGATGCCATTACGGTCAAGGATTAGCTCTTTCAGGCTGTAACATAGTGATGATGCTTTTACGTTCGGTTAGGGAAGATTAAATCGCAATTAAGAAGCGAACAAATTGACGAAATATGTCATACTGTTCTTGAAGGATCTGACATTGATAAGTCAAATAGCGATCTCGAAGGGTTTCGTTTTATAACATTTGAAGTAATTAATCCTCGACGCTTTTCTTTTTGTTTTTCCTCGCGCAAGAAGTCTCATTAATAGTCGTTAATATGAATTTACTTGAAACTTGTCTCATATATGATACACATCTGAATTTAGAATTTGGGTTCCTTTATTTGAATTATACAAGGCAAACATATGTGATCTCAAAATTTGAGAGGAGTGAAACAACGTCCTGAAAAATTACAATCCTGAAAATTGAGTATAGGAACAATCTCCCGAAATATAGAAAGTATGAAGTTGTCCTATAATATTGTATGACAAGTTATTGACAATTTCGTACTTTCAATATTTCAGGAGATCGTTCCTATACTCAGTTTTCGCGATTTTTCGGGACGTTGTTTCACTTTTTTCGATACTTTCTTTTCAAGATTTTGCACGCCCACCTCATATAACATATACGACGTTTATAATCGCAATTTAGCTTCATATTAAACTCTAAATTTAAAGCTGAGTATATAACGCGAGGTAAGTTTCAGATAAGTTTTAGATAACGACTATCAATATAGCTCTCAGTGTCGTTGCGGAAAATTTATCGAAATTATGGATTGCCAAAGGAATTAATTATTAATTAAGACAACAACAAAAAAACTGAAGTGCAACGAACGTAACGCAAGATCACGGAATTTCAATTAAAACCGGTTGTTCCTGACGCGGCAGAATTTTTGGCCGGCTATTTCGAACTTTCGCGGCGCTGATTAAAATGTTGTTAGAAGTGCAATCTGCGTCTACCGAAAAGCAGCTCATCCGCGAATTGCAATTTGCTCCGTTGCCGCGGTGGTGTATACTTTCCAGCGTGAATTGTATCCCCGGACACGCGAGTCGGTGAACCTAAACGAGCGAGCCGCCCACAGGATGTGCACTTGAGTAGAAAGTTTCGAATTATAGTGAAAACCTTCATTGCGGCAAACATCTGTGTCATCGGACGGACTTTCGATTTTTACCATTGAACCGGCCAAGGGGCGATTCTACAGCTGAATTGTCTCGCAGAATATCTGTTGTTATCGCGCGCGAAACGTGTTCAAGGCTTCTTGTCTTCTTATCAAGAATTTCTTATGAAACGTTTGCGAATTTATTTTCGGATGACACACGTATTTTAACGTGCGAATAAATTTTAACGTGCGAGAAACAACTGCACAGAGAGAACGATTTTTTGAATCAAATAAATGTTTCTTTGGAATACAAACAAGTTTTTTGGTTGACACAACAAAAAAAATATTTCTTTAGAACTAAGCCGCAAATAAATATTTTTACGTCAAATAAAATTTTGTTCGATTAATCGAAAAATTCGTTTGGACCATTCCAAAGAAGTGTTTATTTGATTCAACTAAATCGTTCTCCCTGTGTATAGAACACAGATAAATACATACTGCATTCAAGTTAATATTACTTCTTTTTTAAATATTTTATAAGTTTATGTATCTGCACTTCTCTATCATTAGTTCATCATAAATATGAAATTTGGTCGAAATACATTCTAAATCTTAACAAGTTTAGCATTTCAATCAGATTGAATGGAAACGAAAATTTAATTTATTAACTATATACAATTGAACAAATCTTTTCTTCCGTCAAATTTTATAATATTTCTGTAAAGAGAATAAAATATTCCTTCTGAGTGCATGATAATAAGCTTTTCTGAAATTTGTAACGAATATATTTTTACTCAAAAACTGTAATTTTTTATCTGAATTTTAGCAGAATATTCTTATATGTATGGTCTCAAGAGAATTATTTTAAAACCAGAAAGAAAATATTCTAAGTAATATTGAAATATTCTTGAAGTTAAGTTGTCTTTTATCTATAGTATACGTTTCGTGTTCTTAACAGAAATTTTTCTAGTAAGAGAATATTCTGCTTCAAGTAAACATATATCTTTTGATACAAAAAAATGCAAAAGGATAAAAATTAGTATAATATCTAATACATTTCCGATTAATATATTTCATTTCTTTAGAAAAGATTGTTTTTTCGGTAAAAATTTTTATTTAGAATATGAAATTACAGAAAATAATATATTGCAACTATAGTCCTTTTTTGGGTGTTTTTTTTTTGGTTTTAGAGAACAATCCTCTTGAAGCCATTTATAAGAGAATTCCACTAAGGATGAGATTATATTTTTTAGATGTAACAAAAATCCTGTTTGCTTACTATAAAAAATATCTTATTTTTGATGAAATCTTATATATGGCTTTATAGGAGGATTTTTCTGTGAAATCAAAAAAGAAATATTCTAAAAGTTAGAGAAATTTTGTTTTTCATCTACACTGAGAAAAATTTCTGGTAATAATTATCCAGCCTGTGTTATAATTACTATATTTAATGAAATAGTATCAAATAAATATAAGAGGTGAATATTATTATATGAAAGTTAATGTTACTGAAAATTTTATTATTATCAAATATTGGTAACATTTACCATTATTGGTTACTACCAAATGTGTGGTAAAACGCATTTGGTAAATATTACCAAACTTTTTTTTTCAGTGTACAATATAAATCTTGTTCTTAAATAGAAATAGTAGGAATTTGTTTTACTAAGATGACATTCTGTTTCAAGTAGAAACTAGAAGTATTATTTTTAATTCGAAAGATGAAAAAGTTATAAATAAAATCTAAAAGATTTCCGATTAATAGTTTATTTTATTAAGAAAGGGAACGCGCTCTTTCAGTAAGAAAGAGACTTTTCGCTTAGAATATGGGATTACAGGAAATAGCGCCTTGCAACCAGAGTTCTTTTTTTGGGTGTAGGAATATTTTTCCTATAGTTTTAAAAGAATCCTCTTGAGATCATGTATAAAAGAATCCCGCTAAGGACGAGATTACATTTTCTTGGGCGTAAATTACAACAAAAATTCGGTTTGCTTGTTACATAGAGTCGAGCTAACTTTTTCTCCGATAAAGTTTCACGATATTTTAGCAGAGAGAATAAATTCTTCTTTGAAATACATGATAATAAGCTTTTCTCACATTTGTGATAAGTATATTTTAAGACCATCATATGAAGAAAATATTCTTCGTTGAGGATAACCTAAATATAGATAAGAAAATATTCTTCGTTGAGGAAATCACTGAAAAGAAGGAAAGTAAGCGGATTAATTGATTTTCCTAGCAGCAGAATGTTATGTGCACGGAGACAATTATAAATCGTAGGCTCAAAGTTCATGGCGAAAGGGCCGAAGGGACAAGTGCGCGCTTCCGGATTTTAAGCGAATGCTGGTGTTGCGGTGAGGGGCTTGTTAGCGATGCTCATTTCGCGGAGCCATTGTCGCCTCATTTTAGAGCGCGCACTCGTTGTTTCTCACCTGCTTCGCCACTTCTTGTTCTTGGATCGCTGCGCACTCACACTCGCCAGCAAGAGAGAGAAAGAGAAAGAGAGAGAGAAAAAGACCGCGTGTGTGTACGTGTAGCGTTTAAGAGAATATCTGGAGTATTCTACTCAGCACGTCCAGACGATCGTTATCATTACGCGATATTGTCCAGAGAACGCTCGTGTCAGACGTATTTCGCCGATCTCATGTTTCGCTTTCCTTCCTTTCTCTCGTCGATTGTTGCTCCCGTCAGTAATTCATCACATATGCAACACGCGCACGTAGAGAAGCGATCAACTCCGCATTAAACGCTGCTATTTTTCGTCGTGATAGTCTGTGCTTCATTTAGCGCGTGCTTCACACATGCGTCGCTTTATCGCGCTCGATCTCGACGCTCTGGTTCTGCCGAGTTAAACTGCGAGGTCCTGGAGTATCCAGGCTCGTCGAGATCGACATTGCCCTTGCAATGCGGCCAACACCGGTCACTCAACGCGAGACAGATTTCCCGAAACGCCGCGGTCGCGCACTCCGTCCCCCAGAATCCCCATTATCCACGTTACACAAGAAACGGGATTTCAATTGTACCAAATCAAGCTAGAAATTACCGCGAGCCGACGAGATCTCACGATGAAACTCGAGGAATTGTCACGCGATCGACGTCGACCTTGGAAGCGCCGAGCCGACGAGAGAGGTCTTGCGCCGAGCCGACGAGAGAGGTCTTCCACCGAGACTTCCGACCGCGAAATTCGCGACGGCGGCTCCGCCAGAAGAGGGGGCTTTTCACGAGGTGATTTTCGCCGGAGGTGCACGCTCGCGGCGGCTCTTCCGAGGACTAAAGAGGTCGGTTGAAAGGCGAACTTATTCCTCCCGAGGATGGTGCGTCTACCATCGAGGGAGGGCAGAAGAGGGAGGCACGACCGAGGATGGGTTGGCTGACCACTCTGACGTAACAGAACAGAAATTGTCTGCCGGTGTACGAAGCGGGACCGAGCGATAATGCGCCGTGGCTCGAGGTCTGGACATGCACCAGCGACGGCCGGTGCGCGGTCGGCGAAATCCTCGTTACACATAATATCTTAACTTGGCGCGAATACAACTGCCGCACCGTGGCACAATTCTGCCGCTCCTTCCGAGGAGGACGCGCGCCATCATCGGGAGAGGATCCGCGAGAACGCCGCGACTCGACGTTGCTCCGGAAGCGGCTTCGCTTCAGCACGTGTTCCTAAAAATTTCGCTTTCTCGCTGGGAGGAATAAGCGCGACGTGATAGTCATCAATGAAGGGAATCACCGGAGTCTCGCGTATCCTCTGGTGAACGAGAGGCAAGTTTTCGTATGAATTGATGCTTCTAGAATTAAAGATGGGGAGAATCGGTCGTCGACGTTCCCTTACAGGAGGAGGTCCCGAAGTGTTTCATCGATTTTGGGTTTAGGTTAGCATAGAATTGTTCCGGGGAAGTTTAAATAATACAAATTTCCATTTGCATCCTCTATTTTTGTGTTTGAAAAAAATGG